CGCGCCCGGTCCGCGCGCAGGCTGCTTCGGTGCCCCGGTGGGGCGCGTCCCCCGGGCCGCCTCCTGCTCTCTCGCGGCTCGCGTGGCCGCGCCTTTGTGTGCCGGAGCGGCGGCTCCCGGGTTCCGAGCGCTCGGGGAGCGACGCCCCTCCAGTGCTGAGTCCCGTGCGCCGGTGAAGGGCGCCCCCGGTCGGACGCCCCCGACGGTGGATCTTGCGACTGTGAGGAGGCGGCCACCAGCCCCGACGAGCCCCAGCCCCGGCCCCCGGCCCCGGGCCCGGCTCCGGCATGGATGTGAGGTTTTACCCCGCGGCGGCCGGGGACCCCGCCGGCCTGGACTTCGCGCAGTGCTTGGGGTACTACGGCTACAAGGTGACCGGGCCGGGCCGGGCCGGGCCGGGTGGGGGACGGGGGCCACCTTCCCACCGGGCGCGCCCCCAGCTCCCGCTCACCTCCTGCTTACTTTTCTCTACCCTCTTTGCTCCCATATCCTTTGCTTTCTGGTTGCGCCTCCAGCTCTGGCCAACTCTCCCCCCTCTTCCCTTTTTGCCCCCTTCCGACCCTTTTTTTGTCCCTTGGCCAGCGCTCTTCTCTGCGTGTCGGCTCACCTCCCCCCTAGAAGATCCGCTGCCCCAAGCTAAGAGCCGCCTGAGGACTGAAAGACGGGACTTGCTTGTGATTCTTTGTTGCTTTTATTAGTAAACACAGTCGCAGCCCCCTGAGTGTGTGGGGAGGGGATAGCGCTGGGGTCCCTCATCTCTTGGTCCGATGGTTTCGGTCCACAACCCCCGTCCATCTCACCTCCCCCATCCATTCTGGAGCTGGCCCCCGGGAAAGGGAAGGAACAAACTTTTGATGTGCCCTGGACTCGGGGCAGGGGCAGGGAGGGCCTGAGGTAGTGGAAACCCCGCAGTTGGCCTTTTGCTTGCCTTTCTCTGGAGCGTTTTGGACCTCGGCACGATGGTCCCTGTCCCTCCCGATTTAGGGCAAGGGGTAGCTTCTCATTTAAAAAAAAAAAAAAAAAAAGGCAGTTAAGTTTTGCATTTCGGGGATATCAGAGTTGCAGACCTCCGCGCTGCACTACGCCCTGAGGTCACCACACCTCCTGCGCTTCCCTTACATCAACTTCCCAGACCAAGTGTTTCAGGTGGCCGAAGGTGGACCTCAGAAGGGCTCCAGCGCAGCAAGCCAGTGCCGGAGTCGAAGCCGGGGACGCTCGGACCCCAGCTCTCTTATCCTTCCTGCACCCCCCAGGGCCGAGCTTTGGCAACACCACCACCCGGAGGGTGATTTTCAGAGAAAAGAGCCCACTCCGGACGGCCTGTGCCTTTTGAATGTGACTTTCTTTTCCCTTCCCCCTGCTCCTCCCTCCTCCCCCGGTGTTCTTTCAAACCGTAGTTTGTTTATGATTGCTGGGATAACAGAGGAGGAAATCAGGAGCCCGCTGAAAGAAAGGTGCTACACAAAACTAATGAATAAATAACAGGAAGAGGAGGAATTGTATCTTTGGTGAGAAGCAGTTTGCTGTGCCCTGTGGCTGATGGAGGCTCCTGTTCCTATTTGTTTATACTCATTCCCAACTCTAGTGATGAAGTTTTGAAACACCATTAGGGTCTCTCTCTTTGCCCTGGTGTCATCCTGGGCCAGCCCGATGTGTGAAACGCGGGGCTCCCAGTAAGGGTAAATGAAGGGACTTTATTCGGTGTTTTTAACCCGTTGGTGATTATGGTGGGGCATACAGAGTTTCAGAATTCCAAGAGTATACTACATTAAGCATTGAAAAACAGGCAAGGAAAGGCCCATCGCTGTAGCCAAGTTGAGGATTGGTTTCTGTTTTCTGACTTTGGTTTTACGCAGATTATTCAGTGCTTTAAAAAGTCTCGGATGTATGTTCAGTCAGGGACTTAGGCAGCCTAATTAAGGATGTAGTGTTTCTGAGAATGCATCTAATTGTTCCAGTGGGGTATTATTTATCTCCTTACAACTTAGCCCATGTATACAAGCCTTATATAAACTGTCCATGCTCTTATTTTTGGAAGCCATTACCTTGTCTAATGTAACTACTTCTTTCTCTGATTTAAGATCAGCAACACTCGAATGACATCAAAATAGAAACCTATTGTACTAATCCAGTCACTGCAAAGCGTGGCAAATCTCTGTTCACTGGGATCCCAAGGGTACTTCAAGGGACTGGAGGAAATTGTGGGTGTTTTGTGTGTCTCTTTTTATTTTCCAAGAAAGACTATTTTGGGTCAATTTAAACTAAAGAACGTTTATTTCAGGGAAGGAATATAAAGCTTGAAAACAGTCATTATTTATTGAGATTCTTGTTCAACTTCAGGAGTGCGGATGGAAGCCGACTTGTGTCATATTTTCTTAATCCACTTATGTGACCGAAATAACTTACTCTCTTGGTAATTTATCAGTCTGATCATCCTAAATGCTGTGGGTAACCAACTTCTGAAAGTTAGAGCCTTCCACATTGGGAGGGATCACATTGTATTCATTCAAAAGGGTGTTTCCATTTACTTGCTTACAGGTAAAAAACAATATACTGAAACACAAGACTGTATTTTCTTACTGTTAACTTCAAGAATGGAAAAAAAAAACCCACAATTTTATTTCTTGTAATTTTTCTTTGTACACCAAATGTCATAGAAGGGGAAGAATTAACTTTGTGAGTATAAAACAGCAAGTACTAATTAAAGGCTTATAGCATTTTGTTTCACAGCTGACTTGTTTGTCTGAAGTATGTTGTTCACTGTAGATTTATAATAAGAATAACAAATCTAGCATACAAAGACACATTATTTCATTTGGAAACACCTGTAATTATTAATCTTTTAAGACTTAACTTTTGGTGACTTCACTTATCCTTCTGGATAAGAAATGATGGATTTCAAAAAAGTATGTTGCTGCTCTTTCTTGTTTTAATGACCATCTGGGGAACTTTAAAAGAAACACAGAACTCTCCTCTCTAGCCTTAGCAAGTGAAAAGTTAGCGCTTATCTTTAAATTTATTTACAAACCGTGAATAATAGGGTTTCATTCATTTCTCCCTTTAACAAATGGCCAGAGCCTTTTGTATAAATTATACGTGAGTGTATTATCTTTACATTCTGAGTATATGGATCCTTTTTAAATGTCAGAGCTCATGAAAGTGTACTGTCTGTGGAGAATGGATGAAAGAGTTTTGAGGGTTCAAAAGTCATTGCAAGTAGGAGAATAACTTCAAATAAAATATAGCCAGGATCATTAAAATCAGTTAATAATTCATGAACCAGCCACTGATGTATAAGCTTAAAGTCACCTCTTTTTTTCTCAGGCCTAATTTCCATTTTAATTTCAAGTGGAAAATCTTCTGTTGAAACGTTTCTTTTTCTGATGTGGCTAACAAATTAAACTGAAATCTGTATATTTTTAAAAAGTCCTTATTATGTGACACAAATTAATTGGTGACCCAGCAACTATATATCTTGAATTTTTCTTTCCTGGGAGTTCAGTTAAAATTTTTCAACAGTGAGAAAATAATGCATAGAGTACCAATTACCATACAGTTGCCAGGGGTCTGCCACCCCAGAATAAAATGTACGTAATGGGGGTGAAATGAGGTAAAGTCATCCAGTAGGTTAATAATGAAGTTGGACCTTTATTAGGTCTTTCTACATACTCTTACACTTTTTCTTTTCCTTTTAAAGTAGAGATACTGATTTCTTACCCTTACGCAGATTACTCCTGTGGTGTTTTTCTGCCCCCAGCCCCAGACCTTACTTTTAATTGTTTATTAAGTGTGTTATTCAATGATTACTATGTATAATTAAGATATGCTTGTGCTCATGTCTGAGTCCACCTTATTGGGCTTCTACTTTGGCTAACTTAAAAGATAAGAAAAAACCGAAGGGTAATTTGTTATTTGTCTATCTTCTTGGCACCATGGTTCAAATTCAGGATGTATAGGGAGAGGGATTTGATGGAACCTTTCCTCAGACTGATATTCTCAACGAGGATGAGGACTATTTGCTTTATTTCTGGGGTCCGCTATGTGGTGGTGTTGAATTTTGGAAACAGATTGAGAAATTTCCAAATTCTTCCATGGTGGGTTACTAAGTACCATGTAGAAGTCATATTGTAAGAAATAAGATTTTTCTAAAGACTTGGACCAGGGCTCGTATATTCAAATGTCTACAGAGACAACCAATTCACCTACATGACAGTAGTTTGTGGCCTAGTACAGAACATGCCCCACTTAAAGGGGTAGTGTTGCATTAGTAGATTGTTGCCATACCAACATGTGGATCCAGTGTCTCCACATTACACAATTATTTCTTCAAGAGAGCAATAATCTAGATTTTTAAAAGAAATATCCTGGAATTTAAACATTGGCCGTAAATTAACAAATAATTGCAATAATTTTGAGGGAATTGCCAAGCATGCTTTCTGTATGTTTCTTTCTCTTCAACTTTTGTTGTAGAAAAATTTATTTGCAAATGAGATACAAAAATAATTTTTAGGGCTGGGGACATAATTTAGTGGTACAGCTCCTTACTTGTCAAGTGCAGGATCCTGAGTTCGATTTCTGGGAACCCAGTCATTTTTAGTAAGTTATTTATGGTTAGCTTCAACTATGTG